ATAAGACAGTGTCTTATTTTCGGGGAAACACGGTAGTAATAACTCAATACCTAGATCTGAAAGTGGAAGTCTAGGAAATGGCCTGGTGGGCCAGATTCGGACCCTGGGCCTTGAGTTTGACACGTGTTTATGGAGGGATTGGTTTAGGATTGGAGGGCGATGCCAGAGTTCTTTAGTGATCAAAGAAGCCCTCAGCCCCCACTTATAATTGAAATCCCAGCGTGGTGTGCTCTTGCCCTTTAAAAACACTTTATATCGAAATAAAAGTTTAGAACCTCTATTGTGAAGTACTCGTGCTAGGTATCTGAGCATTTGGGCGAGTATGAGTACTCACCCAAATACTCAGTATCTGCACAGATACAGATACTAGTATAGGTATCGGTGCATCCCTAGTTTTTATCGCTGTCTGTGTCCCCACTGGAGAGAGTCGCCCTCTCTTTTTGACCTAGCGACCATTGTCAACAGGACAGAACGGGAGGGGAAATCCAGAATCTGACAGTTGACGCCAAATAGTCCTTCCATGGCAAATGGAAGGTCTGCTTTTTTTTTTTTGCCAGCCCCCTGCGCCTGTCATTGTACGTTACGGCATAGCTAGGAGCTCACAATGCCATGAGAATGCACTCCAGCTCATTACAAGCTCCCAGCTCAGCCAGGGTGCATGGTTGACGTCACCCGGGTTGCGTTTTTTTTTTTCCTGTGAATGGTTTGCTTACACATGGCTTTCAAAAGCTTTAATAGAAGCGGTGAAGCGCTGCCCGATAAGCGGCCTGGAGCGGTGACGCGCTGCCCGATAAGCGGCCTGGAGCGGTGACGCGCTGCCCAAGAAGCGGCGTGGAGCGGTGACGCGCTGTGCAAGAAGCAGCCTGGAGCGGTGACGCGCTGTGCAAGAAGCAGCCTGGAGCGGTGACGCGCTGTGCAAGAAGCAGCCTGGAGCGGTGCGTGGAGCGGTGAGGCGCTGGCCGAGAAGCGGCGTGGAGCGGTGAGGCGCTGGCCGAGAAGCGGCGTGGAGCGGTGACGCGCTGCCTTCGCGAGCAGCGTGTCATGTTATTTTCTCTCCGGCGCGTCGTCTTGCGGAAGCTCGCATAGCTGAGTGTGCAGAGATGAAAAATGTCATCTTCAGCCAATCGGCTCCGCATATAAACACGCGCGTCGTGACGCAAACGCCATCCGACTGTTCATCTGACTGCACTCAGGCACTGCATGCGAAGCTCCGTGCCCGACGAGCTTTGCTTCGCTCTGCACGGCTTCGCATGCACTGTGTCACGGGCTTTAGCCATTGGTGAACAAAGCGTTCAACGAAGAAATAAAAAAACAATGGCGCAGGCCTCTGACGCTTCTGGGAGACACGGGTGACGTCACCATACATCCTGGCTGAGCTGGGAGCGCGTAGTCTTACATGAATGCAATGGGCTGGAGAGCATTCTCCTGGGAAGTCACGTCTCCCTCCCTGGCTGCACAGCCTGTTATTTGATTTTAGATGTGTTTTTATATTTTTTACAAGCACACCTAGTTATCAAACTTTTCTTAGTCAGAACCTGTGACTTGTCGCTCTTTTCTGTCTGCACTCTGAGCAGGTTGCCCTGTTTCTGACATATAGTCTTTTTTTTTTTCTTCAGCATGATTGAATCCTGCAAAAGTGCGCAAGAAATCTCGCAGTTGTCTGCTGAGGGTCAGAGAATGTTTGCAAAACTTGAAAAGTCCCCGAAACCCATCGTGGCTGCAATCAATGGATCGTGCCTGGGAGGAGGCCTGGAGGTGGGTGCTGCATGTGCTGAGCTATAAAGAGACTTGTGACGTCTTGTATTGTGCAGACATCAGTTTTGTGTCCTCCCGTTACCCTAAGGAGAACTATGGGGAAAAGCCTTAACCCCATAGTTCTCCTTTTTGAAGCTCCAGTGTTGATAGGTCTTGTATGGTCCATACAAGACCGGGACGATCACGGCTAGCACTATAATAGCTCTGACTTCTTCAGTACTGTACACAATTCCCAATGACCA